GGGAAATCATAGGCTGGAGCCCCTAGAAAGGATGAATCTTTATATATGTGCTTTTTACATTCGAATGTTTAATCACCTGGGATTGATTTTCTTACATATGGTCTGTGATACTGTTCCAATTTATTTTTTTCAGATAGAAAACAAAATGTCCCAACACACTAATTTCTAATCTTGGTTTTGATATACATTATAACAGATATACAGAACAGTTTCTGAGCTTTCTGTTCTGATCTATTAATTATATTGTCTATTTGTATGCAATCCCTTGTCCATATCTCAGTTTTCTTTAGGCCAGATTCCTAACCTGTTCGCCAGGAGAGTCTCATACATTCTAGGAATTGGGTTTTTCAGATATAGTTTAGAATCAGCTTTGTCAACTTCTTCAACAAAAGTTGTTTAGGCAAAAAACCTTTTGATATTTTGGTTAGAACTGTAGTGAATCTAGAAACCAATTTGGTAAGAATAGCACCTTTAAGAATTTAAATTTCTAATATGTGATGTAGTATATTTCTCCATTTATTTGGTTCTTCTTTATTGTCTTTCACTTCAGATACATATTATATATTTTGGTTACAAGTTAGTCCTAAATATCCATTTTTGTGCTATTATCCATCAATAAATTATATAGGTAAATATTCTTTGATGTATAGAAATGTACTTTTTAAAAATAATTACTTTATTTTATTCATTGTAATTATTTTTATTTTTTTTTTTTTTTTGAGAGAAGGAAAGTGAGATAGCAAGCTGCCAAGTCCAGGACTGTAACCCTGGTCAGCCATGTGGGAGTCCAGCCACCTTAACCACCACACCACCTGCCAGCCCCCAGAAATGCACTTTTTTACATTGATGTTAAATCCAAGAAACTAGCTAAAATATTTTACTATTTCTTATAAATTCTAATAAAATCTGCTTTTTTTTTAGAGAGAGAGAGATTTTGCTCTTGGGTGTGTGTGTGCTCACCAGAGACAGAAAGTGAAAAATCACATCCAGAGAGGATGGTCATACCACAATCCCTTCTCCTCCATTCTCCTCTCAGGATCTTGGGCATGTATGAATGCACGTATGCCCACCATGAATTTTAAGCCACTGGGTCCAGGACTCGAACTGCAGTCGACTCCATGGGAGTCCAGCAATGTAACCATTACTCCATTTGCTGGTCCCAAAATCTGTAAATTCTTTAAGGTGTCTATAGTGTCTATATAACCATTTATATCATATGAAGTAGTGACAGTATTCTTTTTTTCCCTTTTACAACCTTATTATTATTTTCCTTTTTTTTTCTTTTCTGTGTTTGCTGAGACTGTCAGTAAAATGTTGAAGAGAAGGTACTTTCAAGGTTGCATTTTAATTGTTAGGTTTGCTGTATATTTGGTTTAAGTTTATTTCTTCCATAAGCTAGAGAAACAGAGAGAGAAAGAAAAAGAGACAGCAGCCCCAACAGGGTCCTGATGCCATGATCCACCCTCAGGCATACCTTCAGACTCAAATGTGGAACCTTTCCACGTGTGTTAGACTTGGAGAGCATTGTGTTTCACTGCTGTGCCACCATCTGGTCCCTGCCATAGATTTTTTTTTTTTTTAAGTTTTCCCGTAGAGAGCATGCACCCTCAAATGCAAAGGTGTGCCAGTCCGGTGGGTAGGACAATATTGAAAATAAATGTCAGCCATGATATAAATGAATCTTAGAAATATAATGCCGATTTCATTTCTCTCAAGGACAGAGAAAGTGAGAAATCATCCCCCCAGGAGGATGGTCACACCACAATCCTTTCTATTCCATTCCCTCCTATTCTTCTCTTGTGATTTTGGGCAGGTATGCACATGCGATCAGTACGATTTTCAAGCCACTGGGTCTGGGACTCAAACCATGGTTGGCCATGTGGGAGTCCAGAGGCTTAACCATCACATCATCTCCTGGTCCTATCCCTGCTGTAGGTTTTTGTTTGTGTTGGTGTGTGTGTGTGTGTGTGTGTGTGTGTGTGTGTAAGGAAAAGGTAGTTTATTAAGTAAAAGTATAGTCCTGAGAGGTCGGAGTGAGCCCGAGTGGACAGACAAAGAATGACTCAAAAGGTCCCAGCAGTTGCATTCTGCTGAATTTATAATTTTTTAAGAGAGATTTGTGCTATAGGGTACGTGCACTCACTGAAGAGACAGAGAGACAGAAAGTGAGAAATCACCCTCCAGGGAGGATGGCCACACCACAGTCCCTTCTCCTCCATTCTCTTAGGATCTTGGGCACGCACGCACATGTGCCCAGTGTGAGTTTTAAGCCATTGGGTTCAGGACTTGAACCACAGTCGACTACATGGGAGTCCAGCAATGTAACTGTTACACTATCTACTGGCTCCAGATTTATAATTTTTAACCTAGGTCATGTGGGTCGATCATTGGCTGGGCCTACTGATTGTTCTCATCTCACAAGCTCTATAAAATGTGGCTAGGTCCACTGACTTTTCGTTGGTTATTTCAAATGTGGCTTAATCAGCTAGACATCCCCCACTTATCTCCTGCTTACATTACCTTGGGCAGGGAATTTTCTGCCCTGCTCAGTTTTTCTCTTTAACCATGTGGGCAGAGGCTCTAGCTCCTCTACCCACCTCCTTCTGCTAGCTCTCTCCTGCCTCGTTTTCCCTGAGAGGCATGATCCCCATAAGTCTTTCTGGGGAGTTGAAAGTAGATGGTCTGTCTTCTATAATGATTTCATGCTGGAAAAGGGTGTTGGCCATACCTATTGGGGATCATGGAACTCTTGCCCTAAGTGATTTAGATGGGAGAATGGGGCCAGGGGCAGGTCACTGAGTTAGTACCTAGGTGTGTCATGGGGAGGGTTGTCATTGGTGCTGGATGATTTGCAGCAGGAGTCAGTGGAGGTCCCAAGGAGTTGGTATCCCTGTTGTATGGTCACTTGCAATTTGACAGCTTCTAAGCAAGAAGAGATAAATTCGACTAGAGATTTAAAAGACAGGGCCCCAAAACAAGGGTGAGAATTGGTATTGACAGGTGTCCCAAGAGGGGCAACAGCCAAAAGAACCAGTTCCAGATTTTTTTTTCTTCTTTTGGAAAGGTTTTTGCTATAGGGCGCGTGTGCTCGCCAGACAGACAGAGACAGAGAGACAGAAAGTGAGAAATCACCCTCCTGCGGGGTGGCCATGCCACAATCCCTTCTCCTCCATTCTCCTCTTGGGATCTTGGGAACGCACGCACACGCGCCTGACCTGAGTTTAAGCCACCGCGACTCAAACCGCAGTCGACTACGTGGGAGTTCAGCGACATAGCCATTACGCTAACTGCTGGTCCCCAGTTCCAGATTTTTAACAAGATTCCCTATGATGTGACAATTGTTGGGAGTCGTGAAGTGATATGATTACAGAAAGATTGGTCTAAGGCACCTAGTGATTATCTTTGAGTTTTATCAAGAGTTCTTTTAACACAAATGTGTGCCTAAAATTTTAAAGTAGTCACTGTTATGGGTCTCTAAATTGGGGATCTTAGTGAAGGCTTAGTGGCTAAGTACCATTGGAAGGATTTAAGAAGGTTAACTGCTCTTTCTACCAGTGTGTTCTTAGTCTATTCAGTTATTTTAAAATCCTGTAAGTCTTGCATATTTATTAACCAAAAAGGTTGCCATCCCATATATTTAGGATGAAGAGTCATTACGCTATTGGCCCACAGTTGAATAGGAATAGGAACAGCTGTGTATTGTGCTGAGAATGAAGATGAACAAAGCCAGCAGTCCTTAGTCAACTTTGGGTTGGAAGTCTTAGATCTTAGACAATTCTGGTTGGTTTTTTTTTTTTTTTTTTTTTTTTGCTATAGGGCACGTGCGCTCACCAGACAGACAGAGAGAGACAGAGAAATAGAAAGCGAAAAATCACCCCCCAGGGAGAATGGCCACGCCGCAATCCCTTCTCCTCCATTCTCCTCTCGGGATCTTGGGCATGCACACACGCGCCCAGCGTGAGTTTTAAGACACTGGGTCTGGGACGCGAACCGCGGTCGACTACGTGGGAGTCCAGCGACATAGTCGTTACGCTAACTGCTGGTCCCATGTATTTAAAGTCTCTTGGGGTCTGATTTGGTCTTCTGTTTTTCCTACTGGCTCTCATTCAATGTGCATTGTTTCTGTAATATCCCTATACTTCATCTATCTCATTATATCTTTTTGTTTTTAAACAAGTTACACTTTCCTGCAATTCCAATGTGACTCTTCAGTGCAGAAGTTGAAGGTGAAGTCATTCATTTCTGTGCCTAGAAGCACATCTTGAACTGGATCACTTTAAACTAAATTATTGTCATAGGTTTCTTAGAACTCACAAATATTGAAAGCTTGGTCTGCCAACTTGTTATTAAACATTTTTAGGGCAGTGCCCTCAACTCAGCAGCAAAGTGCAATATTACCAAGTCTCCTTGCATATTTAGGGGTATGTTAATTTAGAGAATGCATAACTATTTGGGACACTAGCTTTAAGTGGGTAGCTTCCAATTAGTCTCCTCTTCCAAGCAAGTTTTTGGTTTAACTCCTGCCCCGAGGAGAACCATACATGAAGTTGTGCACTACAGAACTCTAGAGGGCCTCTTTCATTTAAAATACCCTCCTTGTATAGATAGATGCTGTGGACTATGTGAAATGTGATCTCTTTCATACAGAGTGATGCACTGTTCAACCCAAACAATCGTATGTAGAGACTCTGTTTCTACCCACACAAGATGGTGAAAACTAAAGTTCAGTTTCAACAGATTCAGCAAGTGCCCTCCAGATGAGTTTAGTTTTTATAATTTTATAACTGACAGAACTCAGATAAAAAGTAGACAGTATTTCTTCCCTTTTGAAGTTCTTAAAAAGGTAAGCATTTTAATAGCTCATGAACTCCATTGGTGTGCCAATAATCATGTAAACAAAACATAAACAACAAGAATACCCACCACTTGCCCCACTAAAGGAAGTGTTACTTTTGATGAGAAAGTGTTCATTACTTTGCTTTTTATTTTTTTATTTTTAGATGTGGACTTCCCAATTGTTCTTCAGCCTACAAATGCAAATGAGAAAACACAGCTAATCAGAGAAGGACCTCGAAGTTATTGCACAGACTCTTGATACTGAGCCCATTGAGAGGCCACAGTACTCTCTCTCTTGATTCAGTCATGTCTCTAGGTGGTCACGGAGGAGGGGAGGGGTCATGAAATGCTGTGAACTTCTCTACATTTGTATATCATTTTTGGGTTAGGGGAAGATGGTTGCTACATAACTTTTGCAGCATGCAGACTTTCTCTTCAAGTAGAATTCCCAGTGGAACACATTCAATGTTGATGAATAAAGGCCTGAAGAGTTGTTTTAAGATCCTTGCATGAGGTAAGATGTGGCACTGGACAGCCGTTATGAACCTGCCCTTTATGTGAACCAGATTTCTGTCCTCAGACAAAAGTGTTATTCCAAAACAGAAGCTACGTTTCATCCATTTAACTAACTGCAATATTTATATTTGCCGCAAATATCATCAGCAAAATATAGATGACAATTAAGGGTTTTTTTTTTTTTTTGTATGTGGAGGTTTTTCTCTGTCAATATTCAATATGATTACAGAAGTATTTCCCAGAGGCAGGAAGAGAGGATTGGATTTAAAAGACAAATTACAGTATTTTAAAGTATATGTTTGGAAGATTAAAAATTGGAATTTGCTAAAAACTGACAAGTAAAACTAAGAAGAAACAGGTTTGTGTGTACTCTTAGACTTGCTTTAAAAATACTTCAATCTGGTTAAAACTTATAATGATCCAGAAAATCATCCTGAGACTGAACAGACCCAAACAATGTAATGATCATTTTTTAGTAAAATTTTGTATACCTCGCCCAGATTAACTAGACTAAGGGACAGGAACATGTGAGATAGGGGTAGAATTCTAAATTCCATCGTATAAATTTAAATGTAAAGGCATGCCACTTATCCCATTTTTGGTAGGATTAATTACACTGACCAGAAAACGCTCTGCCCTGTGCGTACTGGACAACTTAAACTCAGAAGTCACTTCCGCACTGGCTTGTTTGATTCTTACATTCATAATGCAGTTAGAAACCATGTGCTGTTTCTAATATAGTACAGCAGCAAACGTGTTTGTTTTTTCCTAGGTCTTTCTTAGTTCTTTACATAATTTTGCATTTTAAAGATCCTGGTATGTTTTATATAATACTGCATGAAATGCCACTTCTTTCTTTGTTTCTTATTTCCCACCGTCACCACCAAATTACAGCCAATTACTGCTAAATATATATTGTAAGTGAGAATTAGTGCTACAGCTCTGACAGTTCTGAAGTCAATAAAACTCTGCTCTAACTCTTGAGTTACTGGATTTTTTTTTTTTCCCT